GAATTGTTTCAAAGGATGAAGAGACGGTTTTCATATTTAGCGCCTGTTTGATTTGGAATTTTTTTCTTAAGATCGATTTTTTGGTTCAAATTGATTTATCTTCAACCACGCGATTACCCGATACTAGTGGGATGAACTTGCAGTTGTAAATAAGCCTCTCATTGATCCACGTTCTAAAAAAAATAAAATTCATTCTTTTAATACTCATTTTCAACAACATATTTTTCAATAAAATAATATTACACGCAAATTCAAAAATTTTCCTTCTTTTTTAACCTCATATTTCCCATACATCACTATTTAAAATGCATTATTTTTTTGCATCAAACAATTTTTAAGTGTACTTAAAATTTAGTGGGATTAGTTCGTAAATGTGAAAAACATTCATAAGTTGGTTAAAATTGACAATTACTTCTAGCGATTATCAATTTATATTTTATTGATATGCTTGTCTAGCTGTCACATTGATGTACATCCTAAGGAAGAAAATACAATTTTATTTTGATTGTAAACCGATTTGCATCTACCGATACACTAATTTAACAAGAATCGCCAAAATTAATTTCATTCCAGGTGCTATACAAATACTTACACAGACATGCCCGAAGCATTTCTTTGAATAAAGAATCAAAGTCATCATACATGAATTAGACAAAAATGGAGCTGATGAGAAAACAACTTACGAACGCATCGAGCTTGTTCAATTTACGAGAAGCATCACAGCGAATAATTCAGTTGAATCAATCTAAGAGAAAGATAAAAGAATGGAATATTAATAAAAAACCTCAAAACAAACTCTTGAATTAATCGAACAGAATCGCACGTATTCGAGAGTGTTACCTAAGATGTTTTTGGTCCTTCTAAACTAAGAGAAGAAATTGGATTCCGACAAACAGTATAAATGTGCTAATATGAGACAATATTTGATAACATAAATATATAAATTGTTCCGTTCGGCCGAGACACAAAGAAGAAATTCAGTTCGTTAGTCGTTCAAACATCTTCTCAACACGTATCACAGTACCAACTATTCAAGATTGAGAATCTTCCTCAATTAATGTTTACGTATACGAAAAATGAACAAGTTTATCAAATTCATGAGACTCTTAAAAAATTAAGGGGGGTCAGGTTTTTGGGATACTATCTATCACTGAAATTCTAAAACATCAAGTATAGGATATAATTTAGGTTGTATTTTATGGCTTTTTAATAGCTCAAAGTAATAAAATTAAATTATTATTGAAATGAAAAGCCAAAGAACATAAATAAAAATAACACAATATCAAGCCCAAATTGAGTTTTATATTCCTATGGAAATCAACCTCAACTCCTAATACTAAGAATGTACCAAGTTCTCGTGGAAGAACTATAAGTCTGGAGATATAAAGAAACCTAACAATGATCGTTCAAGTTATATCCTAAATGAAGAACCGGAGAAGAAGAGACTGATTACACAAGATTTTGGGAAAAAACTTGGAACTTTTAATCAAGAATTGGAAAAGAAGGCGGATTTGACAAGATTTAAAAAAAAAAAAATTCTGGAATGTTTCTTGAGAAAAATTAATTAATTACATTAATGAATGCTCATGAATTAGGGGTGTAAACGGTCCGATTTTTGCGATTTTTGACAAATTTTCAAACCAAACCATTTTGACCGGTTTGAGAAAAGCTCAAACCTAAACCAAACCGTTTTGACCGATTTGAGAAAAGCTCAAACCTAAACCTAACGGTTTGGTTCAGTTTCAAACCGCCGGTTTCGCGTATATTTTTTTCCTGTCTAGTATCTACTTTTATGCCATTAATTCAATATATATTTATATCTTACTAGAAATAAATCTAAAACAAACTAAATATATTTACTATAAATTTAAATACCAACTAAATAAAAGTAAAATCACAAAAAACTAAAGTATAGTTCTTTATTCGCCCTTTTGACGTTTTAGGATAATACTTTACGATAAAAATACAATACAAGTCCACTAAATTAAATATAAGGTCCAAAAAAACATAATAATGTCCATTTTCAACTAGCAAAAGGAATAAACGAATTAATTTTGTCACATAACTCAAGAAACATCAAATTTTGTCACAGAACTCACAGAACTAGCAAAAGGAAGAAACATTCACATACTCAAGAAGCCACAGAACTCATGATCAATTTTGTCCTTCATACACAAAAAAAATTTTATTTAGCAAATTGGAAAAAAAAAATGAATTAAGACACGGATCCATCTAATAATGGCTCCCAAAAGACAAGCTGCAAATATTTTTTCTCCCCAATTCCACTATATATACCCACCTTCATCTTCTGCAATTTAA